GACTGTGATGCTCCAAATGAGATGGCGACAGAATCCTCTGCACCCATGAAAGATTCTGCTCCTCCCTTATCCCCTGTCCCAAAGGACTCAGGTATGTCTATTTGTCATCTCCAAACCAAGCATAGGCTATTAGTAGCACTACTTTTGGTAACTATAAGTCTAGAAATTTGTTTAAAAGCTCATTATTGTCCCTGTTTCTTTTGATCCTGACTAGCTCCTCCTGTTGCAGCTGCATTCTCATCTCCTCCCACCCTGTTGTTGCCTCTGCCCTTGTCAAGAGTCGGGCATGGGGACAAAGACAGAGCGCCTGTTCCCCAGGCAGTGGTCAAACCTCAAGTGCTTACCCACCTCATAGAGGGCTTTGTCATCCAGGAGGGAGCCGAGCCTTTCCCCGTCAGTGTGCACTGCTGCGACAACACAGATTTCAATCAAATCTCTTATTTCAAATACACTGGCTTTGCACCTTTTCCATGTGAATAAGTTCGGGCTTGTGTTTGATGTGACAGGTTGCTGGACTCCTCAAAGACAGAGATTTTGCCCTGGTTGGCCGCTCAGAGAATGGACCTCCGTGTAAGTGGTTGAATATCTCTTTATCTTCTTAAAGATCAAGTATGATACCATGAATCTGTGTGTGTTAGTATTTCCTATGTAACATAGTTTCATCCGTTCCTTTTCCTCTTCAGTGTTAAAGTGTGAGTATTGTGGAAGCCTCGCCCCCGCCAGCCAGTTCAGAGGATCAAAGAGGTTCTGTTCAAATACCTGTGCAAAGAGGTATGATTTACCATATGGGTATCTTTTTTATTTAGGTTGGTTTCGTGATGTTGTACAAGCCAAACGACTACATCGGGGGATGCCACGGGAGTAAAAACAAGTACAAAGATCTAGGAATGTCTTCTGGGTTTTGACTGTTCTCTCGGATCCGCAGGTATAACGTGAGCTGCAGCCAACACTTCAAGACCAGCAGAGGGAGGAGTGGTGCAGGGCTGCCAACACCTCCAGCAATCAATGAGAGCGCTGCTAGGCGAAGAGGCCCCTCACGCAGGAGCAGTTCTAGTATCACGTGTAATAAATTATCAAGCAGGCATCTATCTGTTAAGGTAAGATATCTGTAGTTCAAAGGATGAGACTGCTGGTGCAGCCGGATGCTCAGTAATGTCTAGAGTGCCCAGCTGTTTAAAAACAATTATTTAACATTGTTTAAAGATTAAAACGTTATACCTGTGATCTGTCTTTATATAGGTGTACATCTTTATAAATGAGAGCTAATTGGGTTGAGAAAGTATTCACACCAAACTAATTCGCGCCTCGTTATTTCCGTCAGTTTACTCGCGGGGGCCATTTGTGGTCATTCGCGCTAAACGCGCCGGAGAGGGGGCGTGGCTTATCTCAATGAAACCGTTCATTTCTTTCTGCCATTAACCATGAGAGAGATAACTAATATTTGTGTTTTGTACTTGTTGTGGAAATACCTGAAAGCTAAACGCCGCCTTGTCCGGGTCCGTAACAACAACCGGAGGAGCTCCGAGGATTTCATCGAGGTGTATTCACTGAATCTAGCCACACGTCGGCTGGTTTACAGCTAACGTTATATGAACCCAAAATAAACAGAATTTGCTGTGATTTAACCGAAATAAACGGACAAAAAAGATGCCGAAATAACTTCATAATGGTGCCGATTTGTAAAAAGTTAGAATTCATGTTTTGTTAGTTCTCTCCGCAAGACGACAAGCAAAAAAAAAAAAAAAACGTGTTTCTGAATGGAGCTCGCATCGACCGGTGCTAGGCTAGGCTAACATTGTAGCAGCTCCATCAACACTCAAAATAACGTCACCTGGGCCTAAACACGGCAGCGTCTTTTTCATTGTCTGTGTATACACATACATTTCATTTGTTGATAGTGATACTAGAGAAGGTATTTATAAAACAAATGTCAGGCTTATGCTTTTGTATCTCCACTCTTTTGGACGTAGTGTCACTCTGAGTCCAGCCGCTCGGAGGACGTATCCAGCGACGGTGAAGAGGAGGACGAGTCTCCCTCCCTGTCCCCGAGCTCTTCACACTCCTGCTCCAGAGCTGAGCTCGGTGCTCCTCCGTCTGACAGCTTGGCTCCCGGGAGCCTCCCACTAGAGGGGGCTAACTTTCTCTCGGCTACTCCTGCCCAGTGGAGCGTGGAGGAAGTCTGCAGGTTTATCTCCTCACTTCAAGGTTGGTGTTCAGACTATTAGACAGCCGTTTTCTATGTCTCCTGTTCTATCTTTGTACTAAGTCTGTCTTCCTGTCGGGTGGTGTCCAGGCTGTGAAGAGTTGGCCGCCCAGTTTCTGTCCCAGGAAATAGACGGACAGGCTCTGATGCTCCTGCGAGAGGACCATCTCATCTCCACAATGAATATCAAGCTGGGTCCAGCTCTCAAGATCTGCGCCTCCATCAACACCCTGCGTGAGTGACTCAGAGGGACGTCAGGATCACTTCCTCATTGATGACTCCTCACTGGAATCAATACGTGGACCTGCTCCCATTTCTTTTCTTTGAGGACAGTGAGGATGTTTTTTTTTTGTTTTTTTTACAAAACAATGGTGCACCATCAGTCAGGTGGAGACATTAGGATGCACAGTTTACTTTCTGGACAGTGAATGTACAAAAACATGTTGTGTGTGTGTGTACTGTTTCGTGTGAGTGGTGAGCATGGACAGTCTGTGTCCATGTCAGAAGTGTTTGTCAGGTTTCTTTCTGTCACTGTGTAGAATCCTTCTGTATGTGTACTCATCCTGCAGTAGTCTGTGCGTCTAGGACAGTTCACATGTTGGGTGGGAAAAGAAAAGAACGTTGCCTTCTTGCTGTATTTCAAATGGTGCTTTAACTTTAGTGGCATGATATGGAGTGATGTCCACTTCATTTATATATTTGTCTTTTTAGTAGTTACCTGTTTATTTACCATAGATGTTCTATCTAGGCTCCAATCACACCAAGTAGAGGACACTAAGTGCCTGGTATTTTAATTAGTTCATTTTACCAGTTCTCAAAAGTTTAGTTTTGTATCTTTTCCATTTTGTACTACAATCAAAATTATTTTTTCATGGATATGATATAGTTGTAGTAGCTTTAATCAACTGAACTACCTGAAAATAGGTATTCCTCGTGGTTTGCTCTCTCAAGGGGCTGAATGGAAGTGCTCTGTGTACATGTATGCAGTACTACCAATAAACAATACCTGTTACTGGACCTCTCTGTGTATACTTTCAATACCCCCATGATGCCACTTGAAAATGAAAAAGATTGTTGTTGATCTTGCATTTCTTTTAATTCACATTTACATTTGTGTAAACCGTTCGAGCTCATTTCTTGCTCGCAGATGTTCACATGAGCTGAGCTTATAGAAAAGACAGTGTAAAAATAGCATAAATACTTTAATGTGCCCTTCATTTCCACAACTTCCAAATTGTATAACCACAAAAATGTGGTACTAAGATATATCACATCTGTTAATATATATTTGCTTCTACAAGATCTGTAAACTCATAAGTCGACAGTACCGACTACAAGTTCAGGATGCAGCGACTGTACATTTGTCAAGTTTACATATCTTAAAGTTTACTACTGCAAAATTACCGGTCGTAATACCCTAACTGAACCTCAACAGTATTTACACATATTTATGAGGTCTTACTTAAATGAAAATAATTAGTTCCCCAGAAGTTAACTTATTTCACATACAGTTTTTCTTGTTTCCGAACCTGAAGTAGGAGAATACATAAAAAAAATGTTAGTGCCCAAAGCTCTCATAAACACAGTTTGGGACACTTTTATTGCACCTGACAGATATTGTTTTGTAGAAGTGTACCGCTGGGGAGAATAGTGCAATTTATTTTGCTGATGCAGGCAGAAAACTGATCAGAAAACAGTGTAGCTGTTGGTTTCCCCATATCCTGCTTCCTGCAGGTACTTCTCAATGTTAACTGTCCCAGACACCTTGAGGACTTTGTCAGAGGCATTTTTCTCTCCTGAGAGGATCTTGCGGCTCACCTCAGCCAGAGAGGGTCGGTCTTGATCTTTCCAGTGGCAGCAACCCTTAATGACGGAGTACCTGAGAGATTTACAGCACATTTGTTAAAGAGGGAAACGGCAGTACTTCAGGTTTTGTGTCATGTAGAGCATGCAGTGGGTACTTACAGCGTGTTGGAACAGTTTGAAGGTTTTTTCAGACTTTTCCCTCGTTGATGAAACTGCAGAAGCTCATTAACTGAGATTTCTGCAAACGGAGCTTCACCTGGAGAGAAAAGAGCAAATGTTGTCGGTAGGAGGGGCGATATGATATCAATATATTTACTCTTACATTGCCATATCAATATATATTATGTTGTATTGTAACTTTTCTGGGAAATCAAAAGAGGTGCTGTTTATTGGTGGGGTTTTTTTGGCTAAAAGAAATACTTTACACATTACAGAAATCAAATTAAAATCTAATATTTCAATAAAGTAGTCCTGTTAATGGGTTTGCATTAGCTACAAAACAGAGATACTGTATTAAAGTGAGAGGTTGTTTTTCATTTTTGACTTATGTTGCCAAGAGTTAAAATACAACTTACCCATTGTTGCCATTTCATACAGTAAGATGCCAAATGACCAGCTAGAGAGGAACACACCGACACAAATAATGGTTACACTCTTAATAATATACTCAGCATTATATAAATATTAAATAACAATGTGTTTTTTATGCTGCAGCAGCATCTGTGTTGGAGGATGTAAAAAACAGGAGAACTCACATGTCGCTGCTCTGACTGGCGGGTCTCCTGGCGAGCAGCTCTGGTGCCTGCCATTTCTTCATACTGGGATCGTCTTTCTGCGTGGCTCCCTGGTTCTTCCTTGTGTAGACCCCATGCAGGCCCCAAAGCTTGGCAGTGGAGTCCTTGGTGACCAGTACGCTGCGGGCACGAATGTTTCCGTGGAGAAGGTCTTTGTTGTGAAGGAACTCCTGATTGCGCAATAAAACATGGGCCATCTCAGGTTTAAACACATAAACCTGCGCAGCTAGTTTCATTGCAGTCATCACTGTTGACATGAAGTAAACATGTAAAGGTCTTCCAGAAACCTCAGAAACTGCTTTAGATAGTATGTGTATTACTGGGATAAATCCAGTGATTTAAAGCATAGAGAGATATTTAAAAAGTTAGTGGATTAAAGCAGTTTAATTTGGGGTTGACGGAATTGAATTGACAGAATTATTAGGAATTCTTTTTTCAGCCATGCTCGTGGCTCTAGAGATGTCTCTTGGTCTGTCGGTGTGTTGGTCCACCACTTAGGTTTTAACTTAAAGCGCAGCTGTGTGAAGGTACAGCCTCCAGATCTGCTAGCATTGCTGTATAGATTATAGGTTGTTCTCAGATTTCCACAAAGTAATGAGACGATGAAAATTATATTTGAGTCATATTTGGGATTGTTAGGTGGGTGCATGACATGATGAAGGATTATTAGAGGGGAAGCCCTGCCAACAAGCAGGATGCTGAGATAGTCAGGACAGGGTTAGTGTGTGTCAGTGATTTTAAAGTCAAATTTGTGGTGTAAAATGGTGTAAAAGAGATGTTTGTTAGCATACTGACCAGTGCTGAAGCCACCTGTTTAGCCATGGTAAATATTCGTCTCTCAGTCATCTCACATGGAGGATCCACGTGTTGCTGAAATGAAAAAAACACAAAGAGACGTTTAAATGTTTGTTTCTTGTTTTTTTGCATTAAATGTGTATGGTTGGAAGTTTGAAGTGAGGTAACACACATGGCAGCAGAATACTCTCTGTAAAATAAAACATACCTCTCTGCATCGCCACAGGAAGCTGAGCAGGTCTCTGTTCTCCATCTCTTCCATAACTGTAACCAGAGGAGCTCGAAGTGAGACCACACCGAGAAGCTCTGGCAGGAAGGGATGTGGCCCCAGCTGGGCCAGGAAGGAGGCAAAGCCCAGGAAGCTGTGTCTTTCTGTGTCATCAGCGGTGTCTGTAAAGGTCAAGAACGAGAGGGAGAGGAGATTAAAAGAGGAACACTGCAGTTACAGAAGCTATGTCCTGAAAATCAAATGAGACAATTAGGAGCCTCCATTAAATAAATGTTTAACTATCTCACCATTTAGAACTCGCAGCACCACATTTCTGTTTTCCATTCGGGCCCTGTAGAGGGACACAGAGGTGTTGGGCCGCAGGGAGAAGGCAACAGGCAGAGGGGTGACCAGGTTGAAGGACTCAGGCAGCCTCTGACGGGGCAACTCCCTGGGCTGGACGATGGGAGTGAAAATGGGCATGAGGGGCTCCAGTGGGGGGCTGGCTGGGAGGGAGGGTGTTGGTTGGGAGGGGGGGAGGGGTGGTGGTGGTTGGGAGGGTGGGAGGGAGAGTGTGGCCACAGACCTGGAGGGGGTTTTAGAGTCGTACATGCTCGGGGGGTTGAAGGTGGAGTAGCTACTGGGCATGTCCAGAGCGATGCTCTCATGCTCCAGGACATTGATACCTGGTGGAGCTATGGATGGAGAGTTAAGGAGAGACAGAGAGGGAGACAGGGACAAATTATCGAGGATTTACATGAAAGTAGGTAAACAGAAGTATTGATCTTCATCATCTCCTTGCTTTATTAAAAAACACAAATGCTGCTCTGCAGTTTAATGTTTACAAATGAAGGAATAATTACTCCATAACTGATTGACATTGTAGATGAAAACATTGATTCCAAGAATATGGATAAGTGGTGAAAAAGGAATAAAACAGTAAAATGTTTATGCCCCAGAGCTGCCACCTAAAAAGTAACATTTAGCCATAGATAACGACAGCCTATTAGAAAATTATTCAGGAAAAAATCACTTTCAAATGATTCTGTAGCAAATGTATGCAGAAAATGCCTGCTAAAATTAAGCAAAATGAACCGTGTCTCGTACATCAAATGGAAAATGTAAAACACAAAAATACACATCTGGAATCAGCTTGCTGTTTGCTGACAGTGTAGATTACACGCATTTTTTGTAATATTGTGATCTGTTATTTCCTTTATTTAGGCTTAAACAACGTTACCAAACTGGTATCTTTTCCAGTGTCTTACCATCGATGCCATGCAGCACTCTCCTGGAGGCCGGCTTTGAGGCCTGCGGACGGATACGATCGACTTTCTCTGGACAAAAGTGCATCAGGAGAATAAAGACCAGAGTGACCAGGAAGCTGGCCAGCAGCAAGACGGGCACAATGATCACCTCCTGCTCGTACAAACGGATCTCTGCAAGCAGGGCGGACACAAGGAAACACCAAACACTCAGCAAGTCAAATACAGTGATCTCAAAGTGTCGTGACATGTTTCTCTGTGCAGTCTGTGCTGGTATGTCGTCTGTTCATCTGTCTAGTCAAGGCCTCTAATGGGCAGAGTCTGTCTCTGCTGATAGAAAACTTACCACAGATAGTATCTCCATGCTGGCAGCGGAAGTCTGCCTCAGAAGACATTCTGTCAAATGTAAAAAAGATATTTTTTAATTGACTTTTGTCCATTTCTCACACACAGTTCACACAGCCATACATTATATTCGGTAGGTTTCTAGTAGGCCTATTTGTATATGCTTAACATTGTTATGTATTGGCTTTAGAATATTTGACAGAAACACACATAAAGTAGACAGTGGTAGTCCTGAAACCAATTTATTCTCTGGGGCTGAATCTGTGAAGAGTAACATGACTCTTGGTGTCCAGTATGAGAAGGTGTCGGAGCGAACGTGTAACTGAGACCAGGAGCTTCAGATGTTGTCTCACTGTGTCAGACGGAATGCCAAACTGTTTATTCCTGCCAATGACGACTGACAATCAGAATAAAGACTCTGCCACCTCACCGAATTGTTCTGTCTTCTTTTGTAACACAAATCTTCAGATTACTCTCCAAGTGAAGAATCTCTACGCGGTATATCTGAATTGAGAGCAGCTTTAAATGCAGTGTATAGGAACAGAGATTACACCGAAGCCACACCGGTGGAAATCTTCAACCACATGACCATCCTTTCACGTCAGAACCGAGATCTCTAAACCAGTTCATCTGCATTTTTATAACCCATAATTGCTAGTGCTGTACTACACACCCAAAGGGAAAATATAAAAGAAGGCTTTGGCTTGCACACTCAAAACTGATCAAATATGTCACCATCAGAAAGACTGTAACCAGAGTAAGATACATGGTCTTTTGTTCGATCGATATTATGCATATATAGAGAATAGACATTCATTCACTCTACCTCAGATTAACAATCTATAACATGACATATAAAAAGACACGTAGTGTATGAAATACCTTACCTCAGCTCCTTCAGTTTTGTCTTATTTCCCAAAAATAAAATGTAAAATCCTGTTATTGCGTGCTCATGTTTCCCTCTTTCACACAGTCAAGACACGCTTCGTACATCCTCCAGGCTGAATGTGTTGTCCGGGTTCAGCTGCTGCTCAGATCTTCATTATATTGTTTTTCTCAGGTGATTTGTCCGGCTCAGGGGATCAATGCGCTGCTCTCTGTTTGTCTACGTTGCACCTTGTGTGTGTGCTTTCTTGACTCCACCCTCCTCACCTACAGCTTCTCCCTCTTCTCTTCTATTTACCTCTTCCTTCTTCCTCCTTTTTGTCACTCTACGCTGTGTTTAGAAATGATGCATCACACTGATATCAGGTTTTTCTTTCAGAGTTTCCTCGACCACATTCTGTCATAACAGCTTCTCTGAAGTCGACATATGTCAGCTACTTCTGGCCCTGCCTCAATCCTCTTTGTTTGGGGGAAACTGGTCCGGCCGCTCTTTGCCATTTTTAGGCCCTTTGTTTTGGGCTTTCATTGCACTGTAACTTGTATGACAAGCTTTGCCTGCTCTGGAGTATTTAGTCAACAGTGACATAATGCTTTACTTTCAAGGGACAGTCATTAAATGAAGATACATTTTCCTGCATCATGAAAAATATATAAATAGTGTACTGTCTATTAGGACAATGCATTATTGCTGTAATGGAAGAAGTAGTCAAATCCTTTACTGAAGCAAAAGTACCAATACAACAATGTTACATTATTAGGTTGTTCATACTGATGCATCAATCATTTTACTGTAGCTGGTGGAGCTTTACTTCATACAACTGGGTAGTTCAGTCCAGTGGATCCCGACAGACAGTAGGGGTCACAAGATAAATCTGAGGGGTCATAAAACAATTCATTGGATATAAAAAGAAAAGTAAAAATCTAAGTTTTTTCTTTAATTTTTGCTCTTTTTTAAAATATTGGATCATTTTATGTCTTTGAGCCTCGAACAGTTCTCTAAATGAAACCATCCGAGCAGATTAAACACGAGACAAAGAAAGTGACATGGTGCCCCAACTAGACACAGATTTTTTGCAAAGGCTAGCAGGCAAAAAGATTGGGAACGTACAAGTTGAATATTAGAATAATGTATTGTGTTTTATGAGCATATCGTGTGTTTTTTTTATGCAAAATGCTCATGTGAAAATAAACTACTGTGGCTGTCAAATAGACTTGCAGTAAAAAGTGCAATATTCAACTCTAAAAGTATAAAGTAGCAAGAAATGGAAATATTCAATTGCATTTACCTCAAACTAGTACAAGTCAGTACTTGATAAAATGTGCTGGTTATTTTCCCAATTCTGCATTATTATGACATATTACAGAAGTTAACTTGGGACGTAATTCAATAAAATCAAGTATATTAAAACAATTCCACTCCTATAAATATTTTGACTTAAAGGGGAAGTTTCTTAAGAGACAGTCGGGAATCAGATCAAAGCAAATGTCCCTCAAAAACATATATTTATTTAAATTAATATCACACAGTGCGACAAAAACATCCTTTAAACGGCACTTTCTCTAATCATTTCTTGTATTTAATGACACTGAAACATGCTTGCATATTAATTGTATTTTTCACATTGAATGATTTCATCATATTAACTATCCAGATAGAAAGACTTTTCCTCTTCCCTTTTCATATGAATGAATGGAGTGGACTGAGAATCATTGATTATTAATCTTTTCATGTTGTGCATTTCTTGTACATGTGTGACGACCCTCTCTGACCTGTCTTGCCTGTTCGTTTGACTGCTCTCCTTGCAGGTGTGAAGGTGGGTGTGGCAGCGGGTCGTCAGCCGAGTGGAAACACCTGAGGCCATTAGCAACACTGGCCCCGTGTGCCAGTGCACCCGTATAAAAACCCTGGTGATTCTCAGTGGGTCTCTCTCCTTCCTGAGACACCCATTTTGGTTTGTTTCTGCACTGCATATACACTTTCCATGCACACACTCACTTACACTGCTGAAATGACTGACTTCACATGTCACTGTTGGTTTATATTGGTCTTTTATGTTACTTTAAAACGAATAACTTGTTAAACTGCTTTGTTGAATGCATCTCCCGTTTTTGTCATGGCCGTTCAGCCCGGTTTCTGACAAATACAATTTACATACTAAGAAGAGAAAGAAAGGGAAGAAATATAATGGAGGCTGTAAATCTCAGACAAACGGTAGCAGATTGGTGTTAGTGAGAAGTAGAGAGCAACTGCACACCTCTCCACCGCTTATTTCTATTTGTTAATCAGAATGAACTATTGTGATGTATTACTGATCTGATAGGCAGTAGTTGAGCTTCTCCATCTGATGGACTGACAATTGAAAAATGTTAAACATTTAGTTATTTGTTGCCATCTCATGTAAGGACACATTTAATATTTATTTCATAACAAAGGTTTTATCCAACCATTCATCATCCATAACCACATCCTGTTTTTTTGAAAGAGGGTGGAGTGTATCCCTGCTCTCACTGGGAAAGAGGGTTACACCCACACAGCTCCTCTGTGCAAAGTCATAAACAAATAAAACCATAAACCCAGTCATTTGCATGTATTTATACTGCGCGAGGGAACCTGTACAGAAAGGCCTCCGCTCCATGTGGATTTAAACTCACTTGCTGTGAGGAAACTACTGAGCCAGAGACGGATTTATGATCAAAGTTACATTTATTTATTCAGTATGGTGGTTTAACTGCTTGATTTAAGAACAGCATTTAACAACGTAGTACAGTTGAGGCTGATGGGATCATCATGACCCGATTACAATTCATTCTGAGGGGGACGTGAATGTCTCCACTAAATGTCTTGGCTATCCATCATTCAGTTACCGATGCGTTTCACCACAACTACAAATGTCAACCTCATGGCGGCACTGAAGCAACCGTCAGGGAAACACCAACATCACTAGGATTCATCCTGTTGGGACAATGAATGCTGATGACTGTCGTAGTTTTTGAGATATTTAAGTTATGTGTTACATCATGCAACAAATACACAATTGCATCCTTTTCATAAATTTACCTTTGTGTTTCATTCGCAAAGATAAGACTATCATCTGGAAGCTGTCAATGTTCTTTCTACATAATTAACAGTATAAAGGTATCACATTATTTACACCACCATTTGTTATTAAGGCCTAATTTTAAAAAACACTGCTTGGTTTTAGAGGGCACAGATCGTATGATATTTGAAGAATTAGAAGAAAACTCAAAGACTTTGTGAGCAGACCGGCAGCGTTTGATGGCAGCTTTGTATCTCACAGCTTGGCAGCTGATATGTTAGGCTGAGGTCCCAGCCACTTCTCCCCTGCAACACAGAACAAAATGAGATCGGGCAAAAATCTCAGACAGCTATGGCTATGTAAAGTGTCATTTTAATCTCTCTATTGTCACTTTTGCACTACATGTGCTTGTCTTCGTGAAGGACAACAGTTTTCTCACCAATGCAGTGAGCCATGAGCTCAAATCTGTCAGATCCAAAAAACATCTCTGGCTTTCCATTTACGTGACACACCACAAGTGGGAAGCCGAATGCCTGGGAAGACACAACAGGACAGAATTTGGTCATTACATTGCAATGTCTCATCTCTCTTGTCTGGATCTACAAGGAGAACTGAAGGACTACTGACCCCGTGATCAAGTGCATTCTGTGTTGCGCTTTTCAGCTTGTTTTTGATCTCCTCTGATGTGGACAGCTCCAGCGCTTCTTTAATCTCGCTTTCAGGCAGTCCTGCTTTCATCGCTGCCTGCACAAACAAATATAAATGTGACAACTCCAAACCGTGTTTCTTAATCTTCTCAAACACAAGCAGGCTGGATACGCTGGTACCTCAGACAATGATGCAGGTTCTGTGATGTCTTTGTCCTCACTCCAGATCCTTCTCCACAGCTCCCGGGACACCCGCTCCACCTGCTTGTCTCCACCCGTCTCCCTCTCTTGTACTGCCGTCACAAATCGCATCGCAGTCAAGGAGCCTAGGAGAAGGAAAGAGAAGAAGACCTGAAACTCTCTGCAGTATTAGCTTTGATGAAATAGTACCACCGCGGTCTTGTGAAAGGCTGAATGAGCAACTTGATCCAGCCATGGTTTAATCAACACATATCACAGCACTGATCCCATCAGGTCCTGCTTGTAGGTACCTTTTTGGAACATGGCCTCAAAGGGGTCAGACGGAGCCTGCAAGGGAACATCAAAATACTCCGACAAGCGGTGCAGGTCCTTGTTCATGTACTGGAATTTGTTTGGAACCAGACCCGGGGGCTTGTTTCCTGTCATGAAAGATAAATATTGTATGAAACATAGTACTGAATGTGTCCACACAAATAGGAGTAAAAGTCCTGTATTCAAAATGTTACTCAAGTAGAAGTACAAGTATTAGCATCAAAATAAGTACTAATTATTATTGGATACGTATTGATGCATTGTGTTTTACTTTAATGTTGCAGCTGTGTGCAAACTTTAATTACTTTATACTGCTCGCCCTTTTATTATTTTAACCTTTTAGAATATATTTATTTGCTGATTATACATTTAATCTGAATCTGCAAAGCATTAATGTGGGAGAGTAATAAGTACTTTCTTTAATGAGGAATACAAGTGTTCAGTAGCAGAAACTGTACCTCAAAGCTGCACTTCAGTACAGTACTCGAGTAAATGTACTTAGTTACTTTCCACCACTGTTAACTTACCCGACCCTTGCATGATACCACCCAGAAATGCAGGTCGCAGTTTGAGCTCTATGTTCCACACGTTTCTGTAGCGGCACATGATCTAGAAACACACAAAGCTTTATTTATAACCAAGTCTGTGTCCGAGTTACTGAAGGTGACTGAAGGTGACATCCAAAAGAAGCGAACCTCAAAGCCAAGCCATGAGTAGGGAGAAACCACATCGTAGAACATCTCCACCACTTTCTTGGACGTCATCTTCGGGTTAGGGTTAGTTAGAGGTTAGTGGCTCTTCCTTGTATTCGCAGTGACGCTGCGCTTCAATTAAGCTAAACACGAAGTTGAAGTTAACACGACTCGTCTCCTGTACTTGCAAAGCAGGTTTCAGCGCACCGCCCAGTGTGTCGAAGTTCAACTAATCCGACGCAGTGAAACCAGCACCGTTATGTCACAGATCTCATCCACAGAAATCACTGTCGCAGAATTAGCGACACCTGTTGTTACCGTGTGTTGAATTAGATGTAGCTTTAAGTTAGCTACAGTTAGCTAGAGCTACAAACGACACGGGTATAATCGGGATTGATAAACCAAACAAACCACCGCATTACTGCCCTCTTCTGGAGAAACCACGTGGAGCAACTCATTTTCTTCTTCTGCTCCGTCTTGTTTCTTCTTCTTTGAATGTAGTAGGCAACGTATTGGCTCATTACCGCCACCCACTGGAGTGGAGTGTGGGGCAGTTTTAGTATCACATGAGCTTTGAAACACGTTTCTTTCTTTGTGGTAGTTTTCCAAATTAAAATCACAACCTCCTTTGTTACGTTTTACTGTTTTGTGTTATTGTCTGTTATGTTTTGTTACACACATGTTTGTCTAGTCTGTCACATTATCTTGCATTGTACTAACAAGAAAAGGAAAGAAAAAAGTAGATTATTATCAACACATTTTCAAGAAGTATTTCCAAGAATTAAGTTCAACTTTGAGGTACTTATTGTATTTTGTACTACGGTTCATTTTTCATGAATATGTATCTATGTATTTAGAATATTTAACTACATTTATGTTGACAGCTTAGAGCTAAAATATTTACACAACAGCAATAATAATTCTCATTATGTCATGATTTATATTTTGCTGATGATACGTTTCTACTTTTACTGACATTTTAATGCAGACTGTTACTCAATGTGTTTTTATACAATATTTTTGCATAACTGGTATATTCTTCCTCCTTCCTTCTGCTTCCTTTTTGGTTCAACATGTTTCTTTCTGAAATTGCCAACATCAACTGTATTTCTAATAATCATGTTTTACCAGTATTGTTAAAATAATCATCATCAAAACAACCATCATTCCTAATTTTAATAATTTTAACTAAATTTCCTCTGCTTTTCCCCAACTCTGTCTCCTCCCCACTTCATCTATTTACTTCCCTCATTTTTAAAGTAAAACAGTTTTATTGAAAATGAAAACACACAAAGTGTAAACTCAAAACATTTTTGCTTTTTTCTGTTAGTTTTATATCTTTAATATTTCACTGATATACAATATTAGGCCCGTCATTAATGCTATGACATGCAGTAAAATAATTATATTCTGAGAAATACTATTTACTTTTACACTCTATTTACATTCGAGCCATCCTGCAGGGTAATAAAGTCTGCAGCTAGCAATGTCTATATGTATATTAACATTTAAAATCTACAAGTTGATATTTCCTTTCATGTCTCTTCTTGAGGGCTTGCTTGATCTTTGAGTTCAACCAGCCCAAGACTGTCAGCAGACAGATGTCCTGGAGATTTGTCACTGAAAAACAAAAACAAAAACAATCATATTTATTTCTAGTTCAAATCATACAAAAGATCAAATTCTCAGAAGCCTTACCCCTCTCCGTCTTTATCTGTCTGTAAAGGAAGTTAGAAGGAACATTAGCTCAAACCTTTCAATAAGTATTTATTCAGTCAAGCACTTCAATCTCATTGAGCACTTTTACCTTAGGCTTCTGTGATGCACTGCCACCCATCTTCCTGGGTACCCCAAGAGTCTCGAAAGAGTGACTCCGCACTCTAATGGCTCTCTAATGACAGAGATTTAGAGGGAAAATATTAAAGTCAAGTATAGGAGAGCACTTCTGAGACTTGAGCCAAACATCTACCTTAAAGTTTTCAATGAATCCTCCAGTCCCCTCAGACGCCCCCCGTGCACCCTCAGAAGATGGGAGAGCAGACAGTGATGGATCCCCCATCATGCACTGGGAACGGGTGGAGAGTTCAGCCTGCAGGCTCTCCAGAAGCAACGAACGAGTGCGGAGCTTCGTAAGGGAGGAGGGACAGTAGAGCACACATGGCAGAGAGAATTCAGAGCTTGGATATTCACAAAGAACGAGCATGAATCAAAATAGTCTTCCTCTACCTCTAGTCTGCTGAATCGTTGAGCCTTATAGCAGGAAATCTCTGCATTGATGAGTTTGGTCAGAATGAATTCTCTCAGCAGGGAACACTGAAAGACAGGACAGAGGAAACCAAGACCTCAATATTTCATTTATACTGTGGACTGAGGCAGGGACAGGTGGAGTAATAAAAACGTATGTTAACAAGACAAGGGGCCTATACGCAGGCAACAGATAAGGACCAAAAAATAAAACAAGACAAAAGCTAGACCGTGAGCCAATTCTATACTACACACTTGAGTATGTAGTGTGGTGACACTAGAAAAGTGACAAAATAAAGTATAATCAAAGTAGTCAGCATACCTGCTAAATATTCTATTAATACACGTTTCTCCCCATTTCAATAAGATGTGGGTGTTGGTGAAACAGTTGTGGTGAAAATGATGGAAAACAAACAAAACAAAAAGTAATAAATCTCTGGAATAACATTTTGATGTCTATTTGTGAAGTTTGTATTAGTCCCTGGTAGCCGGACAGCAAATAAAAAGATGCAGAAATGTAAAAGTGTGGCTGTTACTGCGACATATATTCTTGAAATATTCAGAAAAATAAAAACAGCTTGTTGCTCTTTTGCATGGTCTCTTACATCGGTGAAGATGGGAGGATCCGGGAGGACCGGACCAAAGGGGGGGACATCCTCTCTGGCTGTGACGGACACCTGTGAGGAGGAGAAAAGAACATTAGACTGATAAACCATGTTGGCTCGAATTAGCTGATATTAGCTGATAACAGATATATCAGCATTAGTGTGTTTCTACTGGTTAAAGTAACAAAAGATTACAGCACCGAAATGCTGAGGTCGTCTAAATACTGAGTCGCCATATTTTGTCCACCAGAGAGCAGCGACAAACGTAAGATATCCTTATAAAAAAAAAAATGATTTATGCTAAACAAACAAATATCAGCAGACATGTTGGATTTTTTAAAAACTTCAAAATAGCAATATTGGTATCAGCCTAAAAACATCCAGCATTGGTCGGGCTCTACAAAATACAATATGCTTTTTAACAAAAGGGCCAATCGGGTCAACAAGATGCAACTACACTTGTATTGATAGGGGTGATAGATTCCACTGTTTTTCACTCACCTGGTATGCAGTTTTACCTGTGTCCTCTGGACCCTGAGTCCTCCGGACCACCAGGAAACAGTGCAGAAAGTGAGACTTGATAACATCAGATAGAAACGGGGTTTGGCCATCCTGGTAGACCAAAGCTACAATGTCATTGCCAATGTGTCTTTTTCTTTGTAACTGGGAAGGAGGGGACAAAAAACACTATATAGTTCCAAAAGTACCGTGAGAAACTGTCCCGTGAATCATCAGGGTGATACAGTGACTGACCTGCTGCGGGTCGCCCTCAGTGAAAGGCAGTTTAGTTGCGACATGGAACATGATTTCTCTGCCATGAAAGGAAGTGAAGACGGCTTCACTTCCTGTCTGACCATGACACACATCCAGTCCTCCTCTGAACCTGAGAACGCAGAGTGAGCAGAAAGAAATCATGTGATGTTACACATTGAATGTGCCATTATTCCAGCTAAACAACGTCAACATGGCGCACTTTACCCGGTGAAGCCTTGCAGTTGGACCGTCTCTCCCAAAATAGAAAGGAGCTCTTTAAACTCTTCACTCTCCTCAGTGTTGCTGAGTATGTCTTCCTCGGTGAACTAGAGAGAGAGATGGATGTTGTCTGAGTTGGAGTGGTCATGATATGGTGCCATATTTCAGTAATTTCTATGAATGCAAGACATTTTCTGCACAATTTCTTACCTGCCCGTTCTTTTGGTACAAAATGCCAAACTTGAAATTAGGAGACACTCTGTGTTCATCAAATGTAGTTATGAGTTCTGGAGCCTGAGGGATGAAGGAGAGAGGGAGATGAGCTTTGAGAGGATTTAAAAGAAGTGGTCATATGTTTTTGGTTATTGGTCATTTTAGAGCATTACCTTGAGGTAGCTGACCACTTCAAACTTTGAGACAGTCACTCTATCACAGAGCATCTGGAGAGAATAAGAGTCATTTTATAGACTGAGTATAACTACATTTATCAAGCACTGTACTGAAGTACAATTCTGAGGGACTTTGCTTAAGTATTTATTTTTTATGCTGCTTTATACCTCCATTTCACTATGTGCCTTGGGAATATTGTACTTTTTAATCCTCTACAGTTATTCGACTGCTATGGTTATTAGTTACATTGCAGATTATCTTTTCACACACCAATTCTACATACAAAACATATCACTTTATAGAATACGACAAATTGTCATAAATTAAACGAACCAACAGTGTATAAAGTAGTTAGAATTAGCTCCAACTCGACCAGCTACTACAGTAAAAATGCTTCATACATGTTAACACATCAATAACAATATGTTTAGTAACTTAACATATCAGACAAAAACACTGAAAGGAACTATGACAACTTTTACTCGCAATAGTTTAAGTATTTTTGCTGCTAATAATTAAGTACTTAGTCATACTGGATATGAATATTCCCTCCTTCTAGAATAAGTAGTTTGATACCTTTGCTAATTCAACAGCAGATGGGATGTTGGGGAAAAGAGAGGCAGAGAAAAGTCCGTGCAGAGAGCACTCCTTCATTCTGTGAGACAAGAAAAAACGATTTCGTTTGTGATGCAAAATTGCTTGGAACTATAAAGAGACATTTAAATCAAGATTGCTGCAACACACAGTTTTAAATGGAGGGAAACTTGAAGGAAAAGAATGATGCTGTGGGAAATGCTTCTGGCTGTGTTGGCCAAACATTGTCTCATAGCTGACTTAAGATCTCAACCTTAGTATCACCCGCAGCTTGCTCTCCTCTTCCTCCAAACACACAGAGAGAACCAGAGGCCCCAGCGATGGATCCACTGCTGTGAAGGAGTGATGGTACTAAAGGGAACATAAGATGATAAAACGTAAGTCCAGGAAAGATCACACATTCCTCGAGACTTTAGATAAAGTCTGCTTACTCGTGAGCGGAAGAACTCGTGGTAGATTTTGGCCTCCCCGTCTCTCTCCATGATGTCGTAGGTCTCTGGATCGAGGCCGTGGTGGGAGGAGGTGGGACTCACATCTGCAAGCCTCTCCAGAGGGGGGTCTATCCAGTAGCCCCCCAGCTTCGGAGGGAGGATGAGCGGCAGGTCTCCACCTATCGTCAGGAGCTGAGACTAAAATAGACACAGAGGCGCACCTGATGATGATGAGCGTCTGTCGTGTCTGTTGCTTGGGGAAACAAATGTCATGGCGTTCACAGAAAGGTCGGTTTCAACACACACACACACACACACACACACACACATGGGATCAAACCTGTATATAGAGTCAACTCTGAGGAAGACTAACCTTCAGAGGGAGAGGGAATTCACACCGCTGCTCATCGATCCTGCTGCCCTGATGGACAAGCGGAGTATTGATAAGATGATAAGAAACTTCTCTGAACACGCGCACTACACAATCAATCGTGCTGTAACTCACCTGCAGCTTTTCAATGATTTCAAACAGCTCTGTGTCCTGATACGAAACAACAGGCAACAGACGTCAGACACAAATGCAGACAGAGCGAAAGGGAAGGAGAAACATGGGGGAGGAAGAGGAACATGCGCTGTGAATGGAAACTTCTCAGAAATGCAGGACATTTAAATACGTTATATATAATTAAAATAAGACGGGAAGGTGCACGTTGGAAATGATAATGATATCACCCTCTGGTTGCTGCTGGCAGAGAAGAGCGGCTGTCTGTTACTGGGAGGAGAGTCCAGGATGTCCAGTATGCTGTTCTCTCCAGATTCAGGTCTGCAGCAACAGGTTTATTAACAGCACAATTCATCACTTCTCATTCAGTTCTTATTTTACACAACAAAGCTTGAGCTGGAAATAACTGCTGATGTTTGATGGTAAACAAAAACTCACCTCGTCTCATCCCCACATGTGAATCTGTCCACACTGTAAACAAGCAAGTGAGAACTACTCGGAGAAGAAAATGGATCATCTTACATAGACAAGATTACCTTTATCTAAAAAATAATGTAATGTACCATTCAGCACATGCAGCTACTCAATTGACTTGAAAATATCAGTCCTAATTAGAGACAGACATGGTCTTTACTCACCCTCCATATGCCCCAAAAGTGAAACTTCTCTTTCTGGAGAAAGACAAGTCATTCCTCTTTTCTCTCTCCATGGTGTCACTGTGAATGTTTGTACATGCCAGTTTGCTACCGAGTCAATCAGGACTGGCTAAAGTTGAATTAATTCACTCGATCATTCTGTCACTCCTCCTTCTCTCTGCCCCCTGCCTCTCACTCATTTAAGCTTCCCTTTCCTCCCTCTTTCCTGCTGTCAGCCAGACATTCAGCATTAACCCGCTCGTGGTCACAGGTGTAGGAGCTGCCATGAGCCATAGAGCGGACACGGTCTGGCGGCTTCATGCCATCGATCCTCCCGCTTTAATAAACACTCATGGTGGTTTCTCAGCCTGACTGAACTTAAAGATAGACTTGTAAATAAATAAATCAATGGGGGAGACATTTTCTCCCGGACCTGTTACCCTTTGAGTCAGTGAGGATCATCAATTATTGACAGCACACGCAGTGAGTGTGAGGAGATTGACAGCAGGGGAGGGTGAAGTGTAAGCCTGAGAGAGAGAGAGAGAGAGAGAGAGGGAGAGAGAGAGAGGGAGAGGGAGGGAGAGAGAGGTGTGGACGTTTAAATGGTGTTCCACATGATACAAATTACATTTACTTACATTACAGTTAGATCATTGAGAGGATCACCAGATAAATGTAAAGGGTTGTGAGATGATTAATGGGAAAGGAAAAAAGAAAAAACAAAGTTCAGCAACACAAGCTTGATATTTTGGACTTTTCTCAGATTTGTGCATTTTTATGAAATATTAGAGAATTTGACCGTTTTGAGCTTCATGCAGGCGTTTAAAAGAAACCATGTGAGACATTTAGAGGTTTTAACTGAGGGCTCCTCAATCAGGGAGCCTGTCAATAGTCTCCTGAAGTGAGCAGCGACTATCAGCGCCATAGAGTTACAGCGAAAAGGACCATTTGTGATGCACTTTTAAAAGGTAAGACGTTTAAAGAAAGATATTTCATATTATCAGCAAACCTGATTTGATAACGATACACAATAATAAGGAAGAGAGATATTTTTGTGATACATCGCTACTGGTATTTGAGACTTCTAAACATTAAACAAAAATGTAACATAGGGTTGAATTATTTTAGGCTTTATGACTTTTATCTATCTATATCATGTTGCAGCTCAGGTGATTTTTGATTGATGGATATGGTAGAGGGAAGTTGGAGGACCTTGTGAGATTAAAAACACAAGGTAAGGCCAGCAATTTTGAAAAATGAATCATACAAGACTTGCTAGAGAATAACATTAATACAAAAGGTATTACTGTATTACATGAATAATCATACTAAACATGTTTTCTATTCCTGTATTATGTAGGGAATCATGTTAGTGTGCAGTATATCAGTAACCTATTTGAGGAGCACTGGATGCAGCGTGGTGGAGCTTCAGTAATGCTGCAGGTAAGGAGGGCTGAGGTGACCTTAGTGAGATTGAAAACATAACAAGGTATGCTTCAAATAAGACGGCAATCAGAAAACATGCTAAATGTGTATTATACTGCCATATGATAGAAAGAATCATATCATTTATATTAATTAAATAAGTAATACTGAATATGAAATATACATCATCATTATATGTAATCATACTGCTGTGATGCTTTATGTCAGGGGTGCTGCAGGAGATACCTATCCGAACCAGAGGGTCTACTTCTCCTACTAAATGCTTAGAAAGGGAGTGCTGAATGGAGGGGTATGTTGTTGTTTGCAATCTGCAACCTCACCACGAGATGCCACTAAATCTCACTCTTTTCCTTCAAACAAGGGGACTTTAGCCTAAAATATGTAAACAAGGCAGGTAACTCTAGCTGTTACACTTACTACTCCTCAAATATTAGCAAATTTTACTTTTATAAAACAAAACAAAATTATGTATGCCAAGGAAAGGAGCTGAGGAAAGTGTTTATCACCATGTCTGACATGATGCTTCAGGATGTGCCTGATCAGAACACCACAGCCACCAAAGTCTGCATTTAAGTTTGAATGATTGTTTTCTCGTATGTTGTTGCTATATATGAATGTTGTAAATCGATTAATTTATTGACTACTAATGAGATATGTATCTCATTATTTTGAGATAGTAAGTCATAATTATGAGATGCTAAGTCATTATTTTGAGATAGTATCTCATTATAATGACTTACATTGTCTTTATTTTTTCCTCACACTGGAAGAAATGGGATTCCATATAAATCACTTGACATTCAAGCGTTTTAAACTTCAGTGGACGCGACTCTCTATATACGGCTCTGCCTGGAACCATCTGAAATCCACATGAATCACGTGACGATCAAGCGTTTGAATCGTTGACGCGACTCTGGGTGGCACCCCTCTGTAAGAATACCGGTGATTGGACACTTGAAACGTCACTCAAAATATACCCTGCTCCTATTGGTCAGAATCAAATATAACGATTTTCTCGTATTTCTTATTGCTGAAGTGATACCCCGCGGAAGTTGGTTTGTCGAGGGAGGACGGGATGTTGTTTGAAATAGTGTGAAACACGGAGACGTTTTTTATTCTGTTACAGAAATAGAAGAACGGTAAGACTTATGTTTCAAAGGACTTGCATTTCATCCACTTTAATGCAAGAAAAAGAGGTCAAATCCGAAGTGCGCTAGCTAAGTTAGCTCCAGCTAGCATTGGGAATTAGCCATCAACATTTAACTGTCAGTATAACTTGACGAGAGTCTCCTGTATCTTGACTTTATGTTAACATAGCTAATCATATATAACTGTACATTAAGTTATTGTCTTTGCAAACTCTTACGTGAGCTGTACATCTGCAACGTTACACATCTGCATTGTCCAGCTAGCATTGCGATGGCTGCAAGATAAACGTTAACTATATTATAGCATTTAATAACTAAGTTATTCGTGATGCTAAGTGAACGGATGTATACTGTATGATAATTTAGCGACATGTCCCATTGAGAGAGCCCAGCAACAGGGAAACATACAACGATACTTTCTCGTTGCTATCTGAAGATATCGCACAGTAACCTTATGTGTGTGGAGTTGTTGACATTACGTGTTACCTCGTTATAGTGTGGTTTAACTTCCGGTCTATTGTGATGGGGGTACATGAGTCTTGTTATCTGTCCTGTGACCAGTCTGTCGGAGCAAGATGTTGGAGTGTGGCATGCTGGAGCGCGACAGTCGGGCTCTTCGGACTCGCTCGACCATTCTCTGCAAACAGCTGGTGGTGGATGAGCTGCTCATTCAGTCTCTACAGGCAGACAGCATCCTAACCGAGAGCATGGCAGAGAGTATCATGGTATGTAAACGCTGATGAATGGATATGGTTTCATTTAGAGTCCTAAGGACAAGCAGGCTGACTGTCAACAGATGTTCAACTGTAACTTATGTTAGATACCTACATCTTGAGTGTAAAAGACGCTTGATTAAATTGCTGTCAAGTGTAGGCCCATGGGTGAAACATGAGTTTCCCAACCTGGGAGTCCCATGATATACCTGTGCCATCAAAAGATGACAATGGGGAATGTTTCTTTTTGTTGTTTTTATTTTGTAAAACACCAGATGCTTTCACTTCTTTAGGCCTTTAACCATATTTTAAAAGACCCCAAATCTTTGCCCAAAATGCTTCCCATTCATGTCCAAACAAAGACCGTAACCTTTTGATAAGAGGTTACAAGCAAATATTGTTTAAGTTTAAGAGGTCAGTAATGCACAACTTTTAAAGCAAGAGGAGAATTTTGGATGAGTTGAAGTTTAGTCTCACATGTGTAAAGTTACAACAAGTCCAACATAAAAGATTGCCAAATGCAAAGCCTTCACACACTTTCATGTAAATGCATGTGTTTCCCCCTGGCTGACATTACTGGTTCCCCTTTAAACCAACAGTTTCTGGATTAATGCATGCTAATTTAGTGTTATGGCAGATCTTAGTGACACTCAACTGTAGAGTGCCAATGGTTGGAAAACAAAATGTCATGATATTAGGGGTGTGTAATAAATGGCGCAGTAAATCAAATGTTCTGTTAGAGTTAATCTTCGTCAGTGAAGTTTGGTTTTCCCGTCTGATGTCCTCTACTTAAGGCTGAGCAAACATCCCAGAAACGAAGCTGGCGTTTACTGCTGCTCTTACCGAAGCGGGGGCCCAGAGCCTTCAGCAGCTTCTGTTCAGCTCTGCAAGAAACTGAGCAGCAGCACCTGTATGAACTGCTCACACAATCACCGGAAAAAGATGGCAAAGATGCACCGGCAGAGGTGAGTTAGCACTTCATGAAACATCACACACAAACATCACAAAGCTACAGTATACACAGCAGATTCCTACCAGACTTAGTGCAGTTCATCGTCTGTTTTGTGCTCCCAGAGTATTCAGCCTGAAGAAGAGCCAGTCATGCAGACAACCGGAAAGAAGAGAAAGGTGAGCGGGATGCTTATAATCCCGAAACCAGGATTACAGAGACAATTTCACTGATTACATTTTCATAAGACTTCCTCAGATCAAAAGCTAATGTCTGGAGAACTTTGCATCGTTGAATATGTCTTTTTATGAGGTTTCATAATTGTCAGCTCAAGTATACCTGCTTACAGTTTGAAGAATAACAGTATGCTCCAGTTAAACGGTCTTCTGCAGGCGTCCTCAGTAGACAGACAAGATGAGAGTGAGGTGAGCAGCTGCTCATCTTGCCCAGTCCAAACCTCGGATAGCTGCCAGCACTCTGAGTCACTATTCGGACGATTGGTCCCAGTCAGGGAGGAAGACAGAGAGACAGAGAGACAGGGGAGGAAGAAAAGAGGAAGAGATACGCAGACAGATGTGAGACTCACAAACCACATCCAACTTATGTTAGACCACCAGATGGCCTGCTGAGGTAGTCAGGCAGCAAGTTGCCTGATGGTTAAGTTAGGAGTGCAGTTGTCGTTTTCCCACAACAAGCAACCACTGCTGCCACAGCAAAGAACAAAATCCATCATTATCTGACTTCTTTTCTTTGTGTTAAGCAGCTGATGTTTTGTCACTAAGAGTTTGTTCATGATTTTAAATTCTAGACGTTTGTCGACTCTTCTCTCCCACTTCCCACCCAAGAAGTAATTGCTGCCAAGAGAGCAAGGACACATGGTGAGTGGTGTTGCAGTGTGGCCTTCATTCAGGTTAACACAAGTGTCTCTGAGTCCGATGTTGCTGTCGTTGTCAATATTTTTCTGTTTCCGTGGAGACAGGGGGTGGTGTCTGGATAAAAATCTGTTTAGTTTAAACAGACTGATTGAGTTTGAAAGTATAGGAGCTCGGTTGCTCTAGCGTGCTGCTACTGTCTGTACATACAGGCTCCACACCCCACGAGTGACTCATTCACGGCGTTATAGTACAAAGCTTGTTGTCGCATAACTGCTGGCGGGAGCACACAGTGATGTGAAAACTGCATCAGCAATTGAACTTGAGTTTGTGATCACGTGTTTCTGTGTGCAAACAGAGTCCATGGAGTTCAGTCTGGATGCAGATAGTCCCATCAACACTCCTGTGCTCCCTTGCGCTCCCGACTTTTATCTCTCGCACTGCCAGCAGGTAAAATACTTTACTTTAACTTGCAGTAACCTCAGTTCTGTTTTACCTGTTTGACCTTTCGAGAAACACTTGTTCTCAGTGTCACACCACCTGTCTGGATGTTAGTCAGTATAGAGCACGAGATGCAGAGCTGAATACAATGTAGTGATTCTAAGTTGTATTCATTTGTGAAAGCAATCATAAGCAAGATGTTAAAACCCTTTCATAGAGACATTTATCCACAATGTTTTTTTTGTTTTCCTCTCTCTCTTGCTCTCCAGTCCTACAGGATGAATTCGTCCCCTCGGGGTTTTGCTCTGGTGATTAGTAACGTGACCTTTGACCCTTGTGCTGCGCCAGACCTTGACCCTAGGAAGGGAGGGGAGGTGGACGACGAGGTCCTCAGGAAGGTCTTCACTGAGCTCGACTACTTGGTTACAGTCCACAGAGACCTTACTGCTCAGGTAACACACACACACACACACCGGCTCGGGCTCAGTGTGTATTTACAGGATGTCATTTCAAACACAAACCATTCGTCTTATTTTGTTGACCAATCTAGAAAAGAAAGTCATAAAATGGAGAAGAACCTTTTGACCGTGACTCATTTCTAGAAAGTCAGTCAGTCTTTGGAGAATAGTTTGGCAGGTTTGTTTAGCTCAGTGTGGTAATGTTCGTCAGTCCACTGGTATGTGGGCATCGCGATAGAAACAATATAGAAAACAAATATCCGATAGACATTTTAACATCGTTAGGCAGAATGTATAGTGATATCTTCTAGCCCTACATTCAAACCCAGAATGTTCTATGTGACCACATGACTGTCTTGTCAACCGGTTCAGTGTTTAACCACAATGTCGCTGACTCTTTACTCTTTGAGTAGGGCATGAGGACGTGCATTGAGAACTTCTGTCGTCGACCAGATCACCGAACAGTGGACAGCTGTGTGGTGTGCCTGCTCTCCCATGGAGTGGAAGGAGGTATTTACGGTACTGACGGACAGCTCCTGCAGGTGCCTTATGTTTGGTATTTTTCTGAGTTTATGTATATGATGTCATTTTAAAGGTGGAGATGCAACCCGTTTTCCAGACATGTAACTTTGTCACTTATTCCCTTTCAGCTGGACTGGGTGTTTGAGTCCTTTGACAATGCGCACTGTCCCCTGCTACAGAACAAGCCCAAGATGTTTTTCATCCAGGCCTGCAGAGGAGGTACGGCTCACGATCCGATTCCGAATACCCCTCCATCATTATTCATTATTGACATGCAATGTAAATGAGAACATACATGTAACAGTCACAAGCTTTCATTAGTGACATCAGTCACATGCCCAGATGTTTCCTTCTGTCCACTGGGACAGACGACCTGGGTGACAGACACGGCTATTCATCACACGGCGCCAGATGTTGTTGATTGTGTCATAATATGTCAATGTTCTGTTGTAATCAATAGTCGTGCACTAATAGTTCATCAACGTGTAATTACACTGTGACTGAACCAGGATCCCAGCGAATTAGTGTGTCTTAGTGATGGAGGCAATGGTCTGATTGTGCGTCCCTGACAAATCCTCAGACCCCTAAGGAGCGATCCTAATTACTGTCTCTCGCTCCACCACAGAGACGACCCCAGGTGTGCTGCCGAAAGGCCATTCTGCGTGGATGGCCACTGCCTCTGCAAATAGCTTAAGTGAAAACCTATTGTGATCGTTTTCAGTAGAGGTGCACCCATCAATCAACCAGTGACCCAAATCTGTATTTTTCAGCTTGATCAACCATTACCAGTGACCGGCAGATCACTCTCAAATACAGCCGGTTCTGTGCCAGTTAGACTTACACGTATGATGTGTCACATTGTGCGCTCAACAGCACAGACAGTAAACAACTTTTGTCACAGACATACACATTTCTTTAGACTCCCATCAACTTTATCTCTAAAAAGCAACAAAAGTTAGATTTCCTTTGAGAAATAATTCAAAGAATACTGTAAAACGATGGTCCTGTATATGCCATGGTGATAACACAATTTGTTTTTCAGTTTTTGGTTTATCACAGGCTGGCAGAAAATTTGGGTCCATGACATTGATCACAAAACAGCTTTGTCTTGGATTTGCTCAGAAGTAATACTGTGTTTTTGTGAAGACAGTAGTCAAGACCACTTGCGTTGAGTGTGACACACTTAAGTCTGACGAGTTTCGAGATCTAGAACGAAATCAAATGAGGGTTGAGTACGAGTAAAGACGGATAAAACTTCAATTTAACTTTGTCAAGAATATGAGACATTAGAAACGACCGTCTCAAGACCAAGCAGACATCTAAAATCTAAACTGTTGGTTGTTGGCTAAATTGAAACTGTCTTGTCTTCCAGAGGAGATGGACTGTGGAGTGGAGCAGATAGATGGGCCAGTGAGGACCTGCTCACCGAGCTGTGAACAGCGGGATGCTGGGAGGGAAGGACGAGGGGACGCAAACTCCAGACAAAGGGGGGACATGGGCCGGCCCAGGATCAAACTGCCACAGCGGTCTGACATGATCTGTGGCTTTGCATCTCTCAAAGGTCAGAGAATTTGTAAGTCTGTCCCTTTTGCTACTCTTGGGTGGATCTATGTATGAAATCTGCAAGTGTGTATCATCAGAAGTTTAAAGGGTCTAAAAAAAAAAAAAAAAAAAGAGATATGCATCAAGTCTAATAAATGGCCTTAAATGATGTCACTTGAGTCGGCATCGCATGGGGCTGAAAACTACAAGTTTTTAAATGACAGAGTGTGAAGTGAAACAAGCTAATGTCTCTGGCTCTACTGCATTGATGCTTTTTAAAGTATCTGTACGACCCGAGGCTGACCATGTTAAAGGAGCGCAATGCTAAATCGAGTGGAGAGCTCTTAGTTTAATATCGCATCGGTCTTCATCCATTTCACCCTGAGTGAGCACCGACTGCTGTTCCACAACAGCTATCACAGTTGAACCTTGTTTTATGACTTGTAGTTTCTATTTCCAGTGAGGGAAATGCCAAACACCACCATAGGTCTGTCTCCCTGCAACTCATCTCAATCATTGTGTATTATTAGTGTTATTGTTATTAGTATTAAGCCTTTTGTTGTTTCATCTCTTCAAGGCACAGCAGCCATGCGGAACACCAAGAGAGGATCCTGGTTCATCCAGGAACTCAACACAACCCTGCGCCTCCATGCCAGAGACACACACCTTGCCGACATCATGGTGCAGGTAAACATGAGTGTACTGCCTGCGCTGTGTAAAATAAGCTTTCTTGTTTGGTGAACTTCTTTAGGCCATCGCTGTACTCTTTCTGTCTCCAGGTCAACAGTCATATTAAGGAGCGGGAGGGTTTCGCTCCTGGCACCGCCCACCATCGCTGCAAAGAGATGTCCGAGTTCACCAGCTCGTTGTGCAAAGACCTCTACCTTTTCCCCAAGTACCAGCCCCAGTATTGATACATGCCAATATGTTCATGCACAGATTAACAGACACACACACACCATTCCTGGCATTGAAGCCTCTCAATACGCCACACACCGGTTCATTCCACTCCAATTGCTGAGACACACTCTCACATTCCATCTCTACAACTTCACGTCCAAAAAATAGGATTTGTTCATTCATATTTTCTGTGTAAATACTGCCTCCTCAGACACACACGCGTGCATACAGTCACACAAATCTTGGAGAGGAAAAAGGAGCGAGCTTATGTTAATCTACAAGTGCTCTGAATCGGGCGATGTGTTAGCGTCTATGCCAGTTAGAAGGTTTAGTTGGTAATCCTTTTTAGTCAAAGACAGAATCGTATGTTGTTGTTTTTTCAACTGCACTGCTACTTTAAAGTTTCACTCTCGCTTTTTAGGATGTATTTTGTACACAGATCTATTTTTGTGGATTTATTTTATATGAAATTGTTTTTATAAGAATTTTTAAGCCCATTCTCTTTGTTTGTATATAATGTTTGTCATGAGTTGTGACCGTGTCTTGTTTTTAGTGACAGGCAGAGGGCAGCACAGCAGAGACTAATGCTTTTCACCGTCTCTCTCTCATCACCATATTTCCAGTTCATTTTTAGGTATAGTATATCCAGTGATGATGAAACTGTAAATCTCTGCAGCAGGTTTTGACCTCGTTGATATTTTTCCATATGAAGAGGAAAGAAACCCTAATAGGGCAGCTTTAAAACAAGACCTTGAATTGCTTGTGATTTCATTTTTAGCTTTTTGTTTGTGGATGTTCAATCAGGAAAATTCAGCTTTTTAACTTTTCAATTTCATAAAGGAGACTCACTGTAAATTTCACTTCGTATATCAGCTGTGTAACTTTAGATCGGTCCCTGTCAGGGTGGTGTGCTTTCAGGGGAATGTGGTGCTACTTGTGGGCTCATTCACCTACGTTGTGAACTCTGACCTTTATGCTAACTCCGACTCCTAAACGCGTGTCTCCCTGTGGGTGGGAGTTGCACATTTAGTTAGTACAGATTATGTGGTATTTTACTGTATCTGGTACAGTAAAGGTAGAACAGGTATTTCGTAAGTCTTCCATAAACAACATGCATTGTTTTTACAACAGCCTGTGCCATATGAGGATGGATTTATGACCATAGAGCTTTCTTAGTATATTGTATCTCTTTGGCACATGTAGAGAAATCCATTTATTAAGGCAGTTTTCCCAGAAAAGCCCTGATCAGACAAACTGTTTTGTTACAACAGTGTTGTAGTGGAGAAAACCGAGTATATGGTCGAAACAGTATTGATCGTTACCATCTGTGTGCTTTTAACCCGTGTGTGAGGTTGTCACGACTGGCTCAAAAGCACGGGGTCGAGTTCTCCCCGGTTTGGAAGTTGCTCACTCTTCTTATCCTTTTTGTTTTTTTTGTAATCATTTAAACACAAACATTGGAGAAGTGTAAAAGGGTTACACTCCTGGGGAAACGTTTTGAAGGTTGATCTTTGCTGAGGTGCAAGGTTCAGGGGGCCGGGAGAGATTTTGTTTCTGTCAACATTAATGACTTCCAAATGTTCTGCACAATAAACAGGCCGTGGTTTTTAAACCTGACACTGTTGTTGTTGTTTTTTTGCACGTATGTTATGTTGGAGCTGAAACCTGGGCTGTGAGTGTGAGGCCTCTGCTTGAATGTACACCTGTGCATGCTCCGCTTCATTTCCTCCTCCTTGTTGCTGTGTTTGTGTGTGTGTTATTCCCGGCGTACATCCTGTCCTCTCTGTTCTCATGTATAGTATAACTGGCTCCCCACTATTCTGCTGTGCTCAGGTCTCCATGCTGTGGCTGGGACGTATGTATCTCTCACACTGCCCGCCACCCAGTGCTAATGTTCTGAGTGTATCAGATGGAGGCCCAGCCAGCTGTCCACAGTCATTCTCCCTTGACACACACACACACACACACACACACACACACACACACCGGCGTTCAGAGTAACACATTTCTCACTGGCCTCTGGTGTGGTTGTGAGATTAGGCTGTCATGCGCTGGCGTGTAGACCACAAAGCAGGGAGGGGTTAAGGGGGATCTGTGTGTGTGTCTTTGTGGTTGTCATAATGGCCGCCGGTCTCATCCGCCTGAGAGGAGGAACCAGAGGACGAGTTGGTGAAGATTAATCTGAGTGGCATGTTGTCTCCCTGGGATGCGGAGCAGTGGTGGTGTACCCCAGTGGTCCGTGGGCTCTTCAGCTTTTAGTGAATTGTGTGCTGCACATACGCGCTTAGCTCCCTTCCTGTATTAGCGCCTCTAGATATCTGAACCTGCCGGAGAGGTTAAGCAATATGGAGATCACTTTACCGAGCTCCGCAGTGGGTCCTTCGAGCATTTTTTTTTTGTGTTGGGGGGGTATTTTACAGTGAGAGGGTAGATTCGGGGTGATTCTTATTTAATTTTTCCCTCAGGAGGGGGATTATCTTGCATCATTGGCTGATTAAGTGTGAGCTGTCATAGAGGTGTCGTGTGCACTTTCCTGCTCACGTTGTAGGGGCAGCCCTATGGGGGGGTGCCCTTCCAACCCCCACCACCCCTGTCCAAACAAGAACAGTCCATCCAAACACACACACTCACGCGCACACACACACACACACACCTAATGGCCGGCTGGCAGAGAGGTTGCTGCTAAGGGCAACAAGTTGTGTGTGTGTTTATTAGGTGTCTGCAGTTCTAATAAAGGAAAGCGCTGCGTCCTCCACTGCCTCATCAGATGGCTTTGCTCTGATTTCTGTCCGAGCGTCGGTCAGGTCTGCAGTGGAGCTGGATGGCTTGCAGCCTCTGGATCATCTGGTGAGAAGAAGAAACGCGTTCGGGGAGGACTTCATCTATCTTTTCTTTTTCCCCCGATTTTTGCTTTGCTATGGAACGAGTATGAGTTTATAGGAGAGTGAGGAACTTTTAGACGATGTTTGTTTGAACTGGTGTAAAGTGTGTACATATATACAGTGTATATAAGAGCGAGAGAGTGTGTGTGTTTGTATGGTGTTGCCCACTCCATTGGAAATGCTGGGGTGTCCAGCGAGGTTATTTTTGGATCAGTGACAGCGTGTCAATGGCTGCAGATGCGTCGCAAGGAAAGGCTCTGAGATACCAGCAGACCCTGGTAGGTCTTTACTAAATCTTCTTTTACCTGCCTGCCTGTCTTCTGTCTTTTGAAATGTCTTTTTCTTTCCCCTTGTTTCATCCCCCTCCACCTGCTTCTCCGTCATCTCTCCATCTACCCACCTGTCACTTAGTCTTTTCCAGCCATCCTTTCCTGTCCCTCACTCACTTTCTCTGATTATTTCACGCCTACCTTTTCAATAGTCTTTTCTTTTTTTTTTTTTTTTCTCCCGTCTGCATTCTGAATCCTTTCTCGTCCACCAGCAGTGCTCTGTTTCGTCTTTCCTACTTCTGTTCCACGTTGCATAGACTTCTCTTGAATCAATACTTCTCAACTAGTTTCCTCTTCCTACGTTTTCTTTACTTCTTGAACAAGATTTATGCAAATTAATGTCAACTTTATTTGTACAGCCCTCGACCACATTCACAGTCTCTGCTGGTTTTTACCTCCCACGCTACGAAACACTGAGTGAAGGCGATAAACGGAACGGATTTTAATATTCTTTTTTCTTTTTTCTTTTTTTTCTTTTTTTGCATTTCCCAGATTATATATTTTCTTCTGTGACTGCGTCTGTCTTCTATCTGTATGCCTCCTCAAGCTGCAGCCTTAGAAAGTCATTGCTGTTTTCATGTGCTGGTGGGTATAAATACTTCTATACAGGAAACCTGAGCAGACAGGTTAGATGTACGTGTTCAGATGAAGTCATGTCACCATATCCTCCGGTTCATATCCTTGAATCATGGTCATTCCTCCCAGGAGCATCATGTCTGCCATTGAGTGTGTTTTTATGTGTTGGAGCAGCCGGACAAAGTGTTGCTCCTCTTGTCCTCCTATGAGACGATGGACGATTGCCCAAAGCAAACATCTCATTCTCTTGTGAAGCCACTCAGGGGCTATTAAGTCAGATATAAATAAGAAATGTCAATTAATTAATCTATCTACAGGCTTAATGTCGCACTGAGGAGTCACATCTCTCAGGTCTGAAAGCTGTGATGTCGTGTGTGTGTGTGGAAGTTAGAGCCTTGAAGGATTGGAGGAGTTTGTGTAGAGCTGTTAATAGATCATCTTAATATGATTTATTTTGTTGATAAGCAGCAGGATATGGCTGAGTATATTTTCAGATCTTCACAGATGCCCGCTGGTGCTGCGAGGCTACAGTAGATGTCTGTGTTTTCAGTATATGTGTGGAGTTTAAAACCGGGTTATGTTGAATATTTGTAAGTTGCATAACTGTTGCATTTAAATAACAGTTTCAGTTCAAAAGGACCTGCTTGACACTAGAAGTCCTTTAAGGTTTTTGCTTTTAATGCCATACATTACAGAGGGTTGCTCAATTACATGTGGTTGTATAAATACTTAAATGAAAAGAAAGACAAAGTTGGGATGAGAAAAAACACTTAATGCTTATTTCCTTATACTTTTCTAGATCGTCTCCAGGAGAGACACATTCAAATTCTTACTATTTATAGAGAAAATAGGAAATCTGCTACAGGGATGACGTGTTTAGCACCTCACTGGTTCCCTCAACAAACAGTTACATTTTGGATTTTAGAGCATTGCAGAAATTAAACTGTGGGAAACACAATTTTATGACCCTTAAAAATATATTTTTAAAGCTTGAATGCAATCAGCAGAATTAAAAAGCTAACGTTAGGCTATAAACCCACAAAGAGACTGGAAAGGCGGACTAGTCGCCGTTTTGTAATCACATTTAGCCAAAATCTTCATTCTCTCTGTGCTGAATTGGTTTTTTTCTGCCTGACCTGCTGTGCACTGACTAAGAGACGGTTACACCGGTAATTGTAATCATGAAATTTGAAGTGTACCAATTTAACGCTGCCTCCTAATTTCCCTTTAGTTATTAAAAATGTTGTGTTATCTAACCTCACACCTGGTACAGACGTGCAACAGCTTTAGCTGCTAACTTTGACTCATTTGTAACAATCTTGGTGTTGACGGTGTGTGAGAATTCAACATGTTCTCCTGTAATATCTAATTGCATCGTCCTTTCCAGGAAACTTCTTAAGAAATCTGGGAAATTACGAACTCGTAAAAAAAAAAGCGTAACAAGATGTTATCCCAGCAGCTTTAACCAAGATGTATTTTGACCTGAAAAGCACAAATGTATTGCTGTAAAGTTGTGTTAATTACTTCCAAGTCACACAGCTGTTGTCCACCCTTGACCTTAACAAAGAGGAAGCACTCTCTGTTGACTTGTGCCACACTGACAGACACACTCCACCGGGGGGGGGGGGAGAACAGATAGCTGTGTGTGTGTGTGTGTGTGCTAGCTTTGATATTCTGCTTGTGTGTTACAATTGCAGATAAATTAATAATTAAAGGATGCATCTAAAACTGAGGTTATGTGAGGCGATGCGTCTCAATCTGTGAGAATGTCAACAGCAGTGAAATAGATCTCATAAGTCTCAAATGTTACAGGCTACTAAACGGGATAAAGTTCACCTGCCAAATGTCTCGCAGACTGGAATGACTGGGATGTAGACGATTAAGCCATTCAATTTCATATGATATCCCGGTCACTTGATGTGTCTTTTCAATTACAGCAGTGGCTCTAATGTAATAATTAAACTATTTGTAGAGTCACATCAGTAGTTGGAAGATGAATCGGCACGTTAACGTTGTGAAAGGGTGTCAATAAGGTGTCGTCGTTGTTGTGTAAAGACCAAAGCGCTTCATCCGGCTGAACGTCGGGCCTCCTGGGAGAGATGGGCTGGGAGAGACAAACAGCGTGAGAGAGGGAGAGGTGTGTCAGTGAACATTGGGTCACACTGCTGCTAAATTTATCCACGAGTAAGGTTTCACCTCAGGGGTGGGGGTTGGATGGATGGGGGACACGGGGTGGTGAGAGGGAAAGTTTCAGGGGGGGAGAGTGAGGGAGAAAAGGTGAAAGGCTGCACACGAGAGTTCAGTCGTAGGTGAGGCGGAGAAGAAAGTACAAGAAAATCTGTCTGTGGCGTCGCACGAAAGAAAAATTCAGATTGCTAATGTGAGATTTGTACCTTTACAGATTTGTGCAATTGGAGAAACAAACAAAACAATATACTGAATACAAACCAAGGTTTCATTCCCTGAAAGCATATCAAGGCTAAGTTGATATTAAGACATACATTTACATTTGTATGTCTTTGAGCAAGTTAGTTTTGGCCTTTATCTGTTTTTCTGGCTCCGAAATCTGTTTCTAGCCAACAAATTGAACTGCAAATTATTTACAAAAACTTAATTGAGATTGAACAGGCCATTAAATCTTTAATTCAGCTAATACAAATGCATTCAATTTGGTTTGAAAATGACTGCAAAATGTTTTTTATGTTGCATTGAAATTAAGATTGTATTGTAAATGTAACATTTTTGTATAATGTTAGAGCCCAAAAAACAATAATGCAATAATTAAAAACTGATACTATTGGAAGTGCCCTGGTGGCATTGGGCTTTAAGGTGCTGACTGCCTAATGCACCTTTTTTACAGCAGACATCTTGTCTTGTCATAGCAGGGAGAGCACATGTGTAATTAATAACATGATGATGGCTGCATTCCACTTTGGTCTGCAGGCTCCAGGGCTCTGGTGTTGTGCATATTGGCTCACAGGCTTTGCTTACTGGGACACTCAAATGGAACAGAGCAGCCCTTAATGTTATAGGACGGCTATAAGGAATAGAAAAGTTTTTAGGATTCATTTAACTCGGGTTTGGAACATTTCTCCGGTCTGTTCCACTTACCAGCTGCAAAGAAACTGAAAGCCGCTTCCATCCATCCGTCTTCTACCTGCTCAGGTCATTGATAAGTATGAGCAGTGTATCCCAACATGCATCAGGTAGAAAACATCCTGTACAGATGACAGTTTGTTGCAGGCAAAGTCAGACCTGTTTGCTCCTTTAATGTGTTTAAATAGAAACAACACTGTGATTATTCAAGCTGACAGCAGCACTCCACGTTCCGGGCCAGTGGTAGTTGCAGGTGTTAAAATGATCAATTCCTTTACACGCAAAGTTAAATAAAAACACTACAGTCTACTAAACTCTGTGAACTCTGCAAACAGCTTCCTGGTGAGACAGAAAGCCGGCAGCAGTCTGGTCCCTAAAGACCCAGAAACCATTTGAGAACTGCTGGGTCACAACAGAACAGTCGGTGACCCATTTTAGGTCCCACAGTGAGAGAAGTTGACTTAATAAAGGTTAAAAATAGAGCCAATATTACCAGCTGATACCAGCTTATCCAAAGTAAGTCGATATTGGTCTCTGTTTTGGTATAGAAATGTTTTATAAGCTGCATTTGTATGTATTTTGGACCATATTTTTCTTAGTTCATGGCCTATAAATTGTCTTTTTATGCACCGTTTAAACTAAGTAAGAAAGTATCTTGCCTCTTTAATAACCAAGTTTGAGCAATCACTGCCAGCAACACGTTTGTCCCCTTTAGTAAAGCATGCCATCTATGTTAACGGTACTGATAGTACAGTGCAGCAGTATCCGCCCTATCCCACACGATGTTAATAATGTTAAAGGCTCCACTCAGTCAGCAGGTATTATTTTCATACCTTAAGCTCGTGTCCTTCCTGCCTGGTATCATTCATGATCCGGCTGAAGGAATCTGCCTGACTGACAATATACCCCTCGAAATTAAAAGCTGCTGAAAATGTATTGTCAAGCCTCAAGTGTTTGTATTAAGTTAACCTCTACTGCTTTCTCCACTCTCTCTCTCTCTCTCTCTCTCTCTCTCTCTCTCTCTCTGTGTGTGTGTGTGTGTGCGTGTTTGTGTGCGTGTGCATGTGCGCGTGCGTGCGTGCGTGCGCGCGCGCGCGTGCGCTGCCCATACCTGTCAGTCACTGGCCTCCATACTGTACTGAGGCAGGTAGCAGGTACAGTCTGTGTCCGTCACTCTGGCAAAGACGGGAAATGTCAGATGTAAGACAAAGATATGCAGAGAGGGTGTTACAGTATATTAAGGACGCACAAGAAAATGAGCAGCAACCTGCAGGAGGAACGGCTGAAAAGATGAGGGAGCGGATCAATACTTTTGAAACGGTTCTGAATCTTGATCAATTTCTGGTAAGGTTTATTATCCTGACTGTTTTACCTAAAGTTGTAAAGTATTTTGCAAGGACGGATGCATTTATGAATTGGATAAGAGGCAGAAGAAAGACACTTTTGTAGTGTCTTCTTTGTTTTATTGACTTTCAATTTTACGTTTCCTGTTGTGTCATTACTTATTACATGTAAACTAGCTTTACAGGGGTAAAAGGACCTCCACAGTTGTGTTTTTTCCTGGATTACTTGGTGTAAATATGAACTGTGGGCTCATACATAACACATTTTGCAGTTTGGTTTGTTTTTCTGGTTTGGCCTCGCCAACACGCTGCAATTAAAACATGACAGCTTGAACAGGGTTTGGATGAGCCATGGAAATGTTATTGTGCTGGTTAATTAGTGTATGCATATGGACACATGCGATTGTATGTGTGTTGTGGGGGAGGGAGGTAGGGTCGGTGTGTGCGTGTGTAATCTCCTGATCTATCTGTCAGTGAGCAGGTCAGATTTTATCATTAACCTTGTGTTATGGAACAGGGTTATATTGTTGTAAGGCCTCACCACACACACACACACACTCACACAAAACCACAGTCACAAACATTAATTTAGCTCACTGATAAATACAAACTTAGCACGCTTAAGAACCTGCACCAACACACAGTGATGTATATGAATATGCAGTACCGACTCTCTCATGAGGGACGCAGGAATGTGCTATTTTTTTTTTTTTTTTTTAAATTAACTCTCAATGTCACACTGTCCTTCAACCTCGGCATCTATTAGCAGCTCTCACTAACTGAAGCTCTCTTTCCCCCCCCCCCCCCCCCCCCCCCCTCCCCCATCCCTCCCTCTCTGCAAGCCTCTCTCTGTTACTTGTGTTTTACAGTAGCATCACCTTGTTAAAACCAGCTCATGAAGGGCAGACCCATGAATGAATTCAAAGCTCTCGACTGCACCACGAGCATAATCTAACGCAGCCTTTGTGTTCCTAACAAAGCCTCCGTTAGGAACGGTTTACATTTCTCCATGTTCTTCATCCCGAGACTCGCAGTAAGAACAACATTAAAGCTTGAGCTGCTACAGTAGAGTACAAATAAACTAATGATGAGGGGTGTCAGAGCTGTACAGTAACGCCTGAATACTTTCACGTGTCCATAGAGACAAAGAAAGTGCAGGAAAATAAGAAGAGCCACGGGGGGGGGGGGGGGTCTCGCTGAGAGTAGATTAGTGTGACTAGAGGAGGAAGAGGAGGAGGGAGAGTTTGGTGTATCCTCTGTTGGGCTCTTGAGTGGGAAGGTCATTCCACCACGAAGAGGCAAACAGCGGCAGCAACGATGTTCAAAGATATGCTGAAGGTGGTGGGAAATATGGGTTCCTGATGTCGCTGGATGCACAAGGTTACACGGTGACATAAATGTAAACACAAGGTTGAGCGATGGAGACAGAAACGTCACCTGACGGGAATGAATCACAGCTTTCAATGTCTCTCTCACGCTGTCGGCCGTTTGTCTGTTTTTGTCTCCCGCTTTCAGATTTATTTCCATTTTGACAATTCAGTAGCAGCACATCAGGGCTGCAGCTTAGTTTGGCTTGTTTCGTCTAATCAGCGGTTCAACAGAAAAAAAATAAATCCTCACATTTTAGAAAATGGAGTTAGTAAATCTTTGGCATATTTTCTTGATAATATGACATAAATGAGTAATGGCTTATTACAATAGCTGGCTGTTAATATTAAGCAAATCATTAAACATTTACAGTATGTATCTATATATAGATATACATAGACATATACTTACTTAATGCACTACAAACATGACTAATGATAGTAATGGTAAGCATTTTGTGAATATTTTTTGTAATTTATAATTTGTATTCTACAGTTGTTGGCTAGTTAATGTGCATTGACTTACAAAGAAATATTTATTATAAAATCAAATAAAGACAATTCAAACTAAATGCCATAAACAATGCTATACTCTCACCAGATATATACAAGTACTGACAATTTGATTGAAAACTGTGAAGCAAGCAAAGAGCAAAGTGTACATCTACAGCAACACATGAGATGCTGCTCCTCAGCAGTTAGAGAGAATATAGTTTGCTGAAATGAGATTAGCTATAATTTGACTATAACCTTGTGGTAGTCGACAAATCGGAGCAGTGCACGGGTTCCTGTTGTTCCTGTCCCTGGTTTTGAAGGTGCCTGGTGCCAGCGCCTGTTTGATGATGTTGATGGATTAGTGCTTTGGTGTTAATGTGTAGACTGGTGGTGCTGAGGTAGTCTGCAGTGTAGCACAGCAGACAGAACAGGAGCAGAGCTGCTACCACATCATGCTAAAGACAACTGATGAGTTACAGGTAAAAGACCTGAAGACCAAAGGCTTCATCTGCTCAGATGGTGGACGGTGATTTTTGTTATTCTCTTACTGAGTTAATGACGCAGCCCAGTGATCTTCTGTCATTTCTCTTTAATCACAAGCTCCTTTAGTGGATCTGTTTACACGTGTTAACTGACTTCTCTTTGTAGGGTTAATGGGTTGTTTGCACCGCTCACATTAGAGCGGAATATATGTATATTATAAAAATATCAATCACTAAAGTATTGACAGTATATTAAATGTACTGTTATATTTCTGTAAAGTTTACTCAACGAGGATTCTATCCAAATTGTGTGGACCGACAACATTTAACTTCATTCCTGGATAAATAATGTTTAGTAAATTTTAACTCGCAGTTGAAAAGTGCAGTCTGTCTTGATCATAATTTGTCGCGCATTTCATTTAATTTGCTTAAAACACAGCACGACACTCCACAACTTGCTATGTTTAATTGACTCTTCTGAGTCATGGCTCAAATTCTAATTATATGCGTATTAAGCAGATTTAAATAGATCCAGCAATCATAATAAGAGATTGAAACTTTGATAAATTATTCTACAGTATTGTTTGCATATAACCCTCTCTGTGCCTGCACGGTAAACAGATTTTTGTAACTTTTTTGCAAATAATTCATTTAATTTCCAAGGAATAACAAAGTGCTGGCGTTAAAAACATTAGGGAAAGTAATGAGTTTTCTACAGCAACAAATGATCCTTAACTGACTTTAAATGCTTTACTGCTGTGATCTAAACTTTCCCTCGTCTGTTAGCTCAGGCCAGGTGCTGTAAGCAGCCTTGTTGTTCTGAATAACAGTTTGTGGTTTGTAGTATTTAGTGAGGTCTAAATAACTTTAACAATTTAGGAACATCAAATATTTTCAAGAGCCTTTAACAGTGGACACCTGCTCAATGGTGTATTAATTATAAACTACTGAATCTGCCGCGTGGTCATGTGGTTGTAGTGCCTCGTGTGTTATAGTGGACTGCTTGTGTGAAGCAGCTTTGGTGCAGAAAATCTCAACAAAAGAAAGATTGCAGTAACTTGTCTGTGTCACACTGGTTATTATGTGAATATTTTCAAGTCGGATGAGATTTTTGCTGCACCTTTATTTTATTATTGCTGGATGCAATTATGGGCAGCTAGCTAAGCTTTCGTTTTGGTCCTCTGGTCCTGGGCCTCCTGCTTGGATGTGTCAGCTCTCCTTTCCTGTGTGAACATGAGACAGTAATGTGTGGCAGCCAGCCCCCCTTATGATTTAGCTTCTTGCTTGGCTCTGTGGTGGGATGCATGTCATCTATAGGTTTCAGTTGCACATCGTAACTACACCTGGATCTGCAGTATTTTACAGCTTCTGTAAACTGATCACACTGGATTACAAAGTGTCGTGTTTTCTGACCGTGTGCGTGTGTGCGTGCGTGCGGGTGGGGGGGTTGTAGGTGTAAAGTGTAGGGGTAGATGTGGGGGCTCTTCCCCTGGCTCCTCTCCAGCCCCTGCCTCCTCTCAGGGAGGGGTTTTTCCGATCTCTATGCCCGTTTTGTCTATTTCTGTCTGCCAAGGTATTCAGGTTGATGTGTATCCCTTACACACACGCCGCACATTCCCTATCTCTTTCTTGTTATCTCAAGACTCTTCACACTGGATCTAGTTCTATCCTTCTCCCAAGTCTCAGTTTTCAGAGGTATTTCTCCTTCTCCTCACTCTTCTTTTTCCCCTTCTCCCCCTCCTCTCTTATATCTTGCATTTTGTTTTCCTTCTCTGCAAATCTTTTATTGGTGCTTTTTGTGTCATATAGTGATTGTCAGTGTGTGGCCCCCCCCCCCCTCCCCCCCAACCCCACGCCCGCCAGAAACAGAGAACTAGATCCAGTGTGAAGAGTCGGGAGATAACAAGAAAGAGATAG